GTGGGTGCAGATTTGTCAAGGGGATATTTTTCAATCTCTAAAGAAAAATATTTTTCAAGTCTTTTTTTAAAATTGCTACATATTCATTTTATGCATTTAATCAAGTCGATCAACATTCATTATATTAAAAATCAATTAAAAAAGTCTAACTTTAAATTGAATTTGTGTTAAGCACTTAAGTTAAGGGACCAATTAAGATTTGTTCAAGATATTAGTCCCAATTCTCAAAAAAGTTTAATAACAACATCCCTATCACTCTTTTATAAATATTGGACTCCTAAATTTTAAATCGACTAGGTAATTAGCTGGCTGTCCAATCCAGGCCGGGGTAAGTCCAGATTTTGCACTACATTAATTAGGTTCGGGCCACCATCGCTCAGTACCCAAAATAGATTTAGGATATGGGGTAGATTTTAAATTATAAGATCCCATCTTCTATGAATATATTCCTAAATTTTTAATAAATCAATCAACTCAAATTAAAATTTCTCTCAAACCAAAATTTAAAGCCCAACCCTTAGATTAGGTCAGGGCACTTTTGAATTATTTCAGTATCTCCAAGTGCCTCCTACCCCTCCCTCTTTGACTCCTAAAATAAGTGTTCCTACTTGATCCATTCCCTATTCAAATTCCAATTCCACCTCCTTTTATATCACTCCTAAAAGTTTTCCAAATAAAATTTGTCATTATTTTAATTGAAAGTTTTTATATGAGACATTACCCTCCTACAATGTAATTAACTATGAGGTCTTACGCTTGTAGAAGATTTAGGATCCACATCCACCTTTCAAAATAAAATTTTGAAATTTAATTATTTTCCTCTAGGAAATCAAAATCAACGACTATCTTTATCGTCATATTCGAACAATCGCTAATGAATGATATTTTCTTCCTTTAGGGAGATATATCCATTTTTTATAAAACTTCAAATATGAAATAAATGACAATTCATCTAGATTATAATAACCATATATTCGATCAAACTTCACTTTGATCCTCTGGGGCCATATATAGTTTTTTCTTAAATTTGGCCATGATATTTTAGATGGAATTTGCAATGCAATTCTAAATCTGAACCCCATTTTGAAATCTTATCTCTATCTCTCGAGGTAGTATATCTTTTTTAATGAGATGTTTGATTTCTGAATTAAAATTCAAAGTCAATTTTAGATTTCTCAAAGAATATTAACCTTTTCAAAAACCCCTTTCAACTCCAAACAATTATCAAAAACTCAATTAATCTTCTTTGGGAAAATCAATATCAACGATGATCGTTATCGTCATATTCAAATAATTGATAATTAATGATATTTTCTTTCTTCGAAGAGATATATCATTTGTTGATATGACTTCAAATATGAAATTAATGATATCATATCCATATCAACATGGTTAAATATTTGATTGAACTTCATTTTGACCCTTCGGGGTCGTGTGTAGTTCTTTCCTGAATTTGACTATGATATTCAAGATAGAGTTTAAAATTATAAATTTGAACCCATCATGATATCTTATTTTCACCTCTCAATGTGGTATATCATTTCCAATGGATGTTTGACTTTAAAATTATAATTCAAAGTTTAATTTTTAAAAATTTCCTAAAGAATATTAACTTTTCAAAACTTCTTTTTCAAACTCAACACAAACATGAACAAAAAATATAGAGAGAAGCCTAACTTAGGTCTTATTAATGAATACATGAACTCTAAGTCTGTAGAGCAGAGTTCTTTGAGGTCTAGTAGAATTGATGCAATACCAAAATAAAGGTCAAGAATAAAGTCACAAATTAGCACATTACTTCAAGATTTATGTGTCATCATGCACAACTTTCTTTACAAGCCTATGGATATAACTCATAGTCTCTTTAAGTTAACATGCTTGACTTAAGGTCTCTTGATGGGTAGGTGGGCTATTCAAATCAAAGAAGCACAAATCTTCATAAATTAATTTATTTTAAGACAATTATGTCTATCTTATTTGACGAATCCAAATTTTTCATATTTTAAAAAGCTTTAAATTTTCTTTTATTTCTATAATTTTATTTTCTTTTATATTATGGTAAGTCATCAATTCATGTAATAGTATTTTGTTGGCTCATGAGACTTTTTAAAGTTGACTATGCTTAAAAAAGGCCTATAAGTAGGACATTGTTTTTTTACCTTTTGATTTATATAATATTTTTATTAGTTAATTTTTGTTGAAAATATTTGTGGCTGATCTCCTAGAACTTTTGTGAGTCATTAGTGATCTTTTCTCATGCTTATTTCTCCTCTTTACCAACATAATTCTCATCTCCTCTGCATAACCTCAAACATTGTTTCCCTTAACTCCAAAATACAACATCTTTAAAAATCATCATAGTTGTGGCTGATCTCCTAGAAAGTTAATTTTCGTTGTGAATAAATGAATTATAAAATATTATAACTACTTAATTACACATCCAAATCTTAAAAAAAATATCATCATTAATTTTCTAACATCCTAAACCTTTGATATGGATATTCTCTTTATTTTCTCAAAAGAAAACTTGCCCTTTGATAGCTAGAAGTTTTAGCACCAAATCTTTCCAACCCTTAATTACCCTTTCACCACTACCCAAATAGCATTTCATGTATCACCATAAAGAGACTCCAATCAAGTTTCTACCATTACCATAGAGATCCAATAAACTCTACATCAATATGTGTGTCTCTCATAACAACTTAAATAAAACTTAAGAGGATCAAATTATGAACCAAGTTAAATGAAGAGCACCCATATGAGTATTTTAATCACCATATCATTTTTCTTCTTATAAAACTGTTATTTATGCATTATAAAGTCTATATTTTGATAGTGGGCAATAATTAGTCTATAAAATTGTGATTATAGATTAATTTAGAATATTTGAACATATTTTGCTCTACATTATCATCTATAGCATGGGCAATAATCAACTCAGTTCTACATGATAGCGTCATCAAATGTGTTACATAGGAAGATAATGATCATATTGATTATTGCCACTAGAAATTCCAATGAAGTCGGCCTTGTTCATGGTCTTCCTACTACCACAATAGCACGGGCAAGCAGTTCCGCGCGAGCAAGCAGGCATCTTCACGGCAGGCAGACGCGACGAGCGACACGCGAAGCGACTCGCGACTCGCAAAGTGAAGCGATCACGCGAACTCGCGAAGCGATGCGGGCAGCTTCGGTCAGGCCCGGTCAGGGCTAGCAGCGGGTCATTTTGGATCATTATCGAATTTTTGGTCAACCCGAACCCGACCCGAGTTTGCAAACGGGTCGAAAACCTTAACCCAAACCCGACCCGGTTCTGGTTAGGGTCAACACGAACCCGAAATTTTTGAGTCGGGTTCGAGTCGGATTCGAGTCGGGTTTTCGGGTCGTGTCCAATATTGACACCCCTACAATAGAGCATCACATATACTACAAATGATGTTGATAATTGAATCATGGATCATTATATCAATACCAATAATTTTTTTTCTTTTCTTTTCTTTTTTTTTTTAATTTTTTTTAACTTCTATTCTATCATCACAAGAGCTATATTTGAAGCATCTTATACAACAAACTTAACTCAGTTGCATACCATCTAAATATTTAACTTATAGTAAGCAAAATACCATAATATATTTCAATGTTATGTGAATGCACAACTATTTATGCTATTTGGGAACATAATCAACCTTGCATTCATACCTTTATACTACATTTACAATCAATATGAGTGAGAATCAATGTTGCTTCCCTCGAAATTAGGGATGCAAATGAACCGTGCGTTTGACGAACTACTCGTGTCTCTGCTCGATAAGAGCTCATATAAATTTGCTTGATAAGATAAATGAACGAGCTAGAACACTTTTGATAAATACTCGATAACTAAATAAACGAGCTTGAACAAATTGCCATTCATATTGTTTACGTTCATGAATAGTATGTTTAGAGCTCGTAAATGAGCTCATTAAGAAGCTCGATGAGAGCTCGACTAAGAAGCTCAATTAGAGTTCGATAACATTTACTAATTTAATAATTTATGAAATTAAAAAAAAATGAAAAAAATAAAAATCTCGCATGTCGAGCTTTCCCGTAAGGTCTGCGGGTTTCCGTGAGCTCCCACACCTTCTTAGTCCCATAATGTTAAAATGACTTATATTTTTTGTTGTATATAATGAAAAAGAATTGATATCACAGTCGAACGAAAGCGGGAAGCGGGAGCCAGGGAATTGATTTACTTGTTGTCCTTCAATTTAATTAAATTTATTTTATTTAAATAGATGTTCGGGCACATACAAGAACGCTCCGCTCAGCATGTCTAAACCGAACACATGAATGATCAGCTCATTAAGATGCTCGATAAGCCCAAATAAACGAGCTCTAACACATAAATGAATTTAGCTCGATCGCAGGCTTTCTAAACGAGCTTGAGCTTTATCAGCGACCTAAAACACTCATCTGTTACCGAGCCGAGTTCGAACAGGGTCCTATCAAGCAGGCTTGAGCTTGAACACGTTGAAGCTCAGCTCGGCTCTGTTCATTTACAGTCCTACTCGAAATCACTTTTTCTAATGCTTAATAGAAATGTTGTATTCCAACGTAGATTATCATTATATTAATTTTCTTAAAAAATAATTTATTTTATGATTAGGCAAAATCTTTTGATTTTTTCTTATATAGTATTTTCATATAAAAAATGATGTGTTTTACTTCTCTTCTTTACTTAATTGATTGTCTATATAAGTCCAAAAAAGTTAATATCATAATAATATCTAAGTCTTTGAATTTATTTAAAATAAATATAATAAATTAAAAATTAATTGACATTTATATTTTACACATCTCGAATTATATCAAATATTCTGAAATCCATCGTATTAAAATTTTAATAAAAAAAAATATCCTATCCTCACTCAACTATCCAAATTTCTACACGCGCCAAATATTTAATAGGGAACTGTTTCATCGTTGAATCAGAACGATTCAAACGTCAGCCCGCACGCGCGCTCCGTGCGTTCCCTACTCATCCATTTCATTGACTCCGCAGTCCGCACGCACGACCGACGTAAACAGCGGACCACACCGCCTCCCAATCCCTCCCCCGCCCACCGGCCAACCACTCCTCACGCCGGAAATGCCGCGGGGACGATGCGGGAATGGCGCGCCCTGATCTCTCTCTCGCTCGCTCGCTCTCTCTCTCTGTCTATCAATTCCTTCCATCCATGGCACTTTCCATCCCCGGCATAAGCGGGAATGGCGCGCGCTGAACGCCCCCACCGCCTTTCTCTTTCCAAACAATGCCTTCTCTTCTTCCAATTTTCCATCCACGGCAGTTGAACTCTGAACAGCCTTTTACCTTCCCGCGTCGTCAATCACGTACTCGTGGGACCCGCGCCGGTTGGTGAGAGAGGTTCGCCCGCCCGACATCTTATTGTCCGCTTCTCTCCTCCTTTCTCTCTCCTTTCCGTTTCTGGCCCGCGAAGCCGCGTTATAAACATCTCAGAAACGAATTAAGGGGGAATGTTGCGCGTCGAGGTGATTCAAACGCGATCGATGATGGCGAGGAAACGCGATCGATGGCGGTGAGGGAACGCGATGAGCGGAGCGCTTGAGAAGATAAGGGAGAGATGGGATGCTGGGCTTCGAGGCCTACGGAGACGGCGCTTATGGCGCTATGCCGGAGCCGGAAGGCGTTGATTCGCGAAGCGATTGATCATCGTTACGCCCTTGCTGCGGCTCACGCCGCTTACTTTCGTTCACTCGCTGCCGTCGGCGATGGACTCTTACGATACGCGAGGGAGGGGCTCTCGGCGGCGCCGGAGCCTGCTGTTCCAGTCGTTACTTTGCCCACTTCGAGAAAAAACAACGATGGCGATGGAAGCGGGGGGTCATCGGCGACGCCTTTATCCCATTCGCCGTCGGACGAGGGTTCGCACCTGCATATTTCCTCCGAATCTGAGACGGACACGGAAGCTGGCGAAGGAAAAGGAGGGGACCAGTCGGGTGGGCCTAACCCTAATTACTACTATATGAGATCCTCTTCGGCGACTCCCAACGTGGTTTATGGGGATCCGTATGGTGGATTATATGATGGTTACGTTAATGATCCAAATTACTACTATAGCCAGTCGGTGAGCCCTCCTCAGCCGGCTATGCTTTCTACCCCTCCGCCTCCACCGCCTCCGGGTTCCTCTGCCTGGGATTTCTTAGATCCCTTTTCTTCGTATGAGCAGTTTCTACCCCGGTACTTTCCCAGCGAGTATGGAACGGCGTCGGTCGGAAGCAGTTCGAATTCAAGCGAGGTGAGAGCACGGGAAGGCATTCCTGATCTGGAGGAAGAGACTGAGCCGGAAGGGCTTAATAGAGTGAAAAAGGGAAAGATTATAGCTGAAGATTTTGAAGCAAAGGGTTCTGGAATTGGTAGCTCCAAAACTGTACAGGTAAAGGAGATAGAGGAATTAGATGAGAAAGAAAGGAAGGCGGGTTCTGGAAAGAAGGTTGGTAAGGTTAGCCCCACTGAGAATGGGAGCAATGGAAGTTCTTCCACGAGCTTGGTTAGTTCTGGAGAGAAGGCAAGCAAGCTTGGCCCCACTAAGCAAGGGAGTAATGAAACTTCTTCCACAAGCTATGTCGGTAGCAGTGGAGACCAAGAATCAAGTTCGAAGAAGAAAGGGGTAACTTTTGATGAGGGAACTTCTTTGGTGAGTGAAAAAAACGGGACGAGTGATGGAGGCTTATTATCTATGGAAGGCAAAAGGGATGTTGTGGAAGCGTTGGGGGATATTAAAGAAGAGTTCAAGTCTGCTATCAGTGGCAGTGAAGAGGTATCGAAATTGCTAGAGGTTGGAAAAATGCCATACCGGCCAAGAAACAGAGTATTTAAAGGTTGGTATTGTCTTTGTTGTTGTCCTGTTTCTGTTTACTCTTTTAGAATTTGTCTTGCATTATAATAGTTTTTTTTTTATGATGTCAATTTATATAGCCTTGATTTTAATTGTCTTTTCAGCTTCGTAGCCTTAAGTAAGGATTTCTAATTTTCTGAAAGAGATTTTCAATTGGATCAGGTTTTGGACGTACTAGTTCTGATTAGAGAGTTTCGTTTTACTGACTAAAGATTTATTTTAATAATGTTTCATATGTAATATGCTGAAAATGTAAAAGAATCTTGTCCTTCTCTTGTTATTACTATACAAAATCTTAATATAATTTGATTTGCTTTTAATCTCATCGACTGCAGACAGAATATGCTATTATTAGGCGGTTCTATAGTTTTATGCAAATGGATATTAGGACGGAAAATAAGTAGGCAAATATGCTTTGCCGTTGTGAAAAAAGGCATTCAAAATAGAGTTAATACTTTATTTGTGCTGAAAATGAGTATTCATAAGCTTAGCTAAGTTGGATGAGGCTAATAATGATGATGTTGATGCATGCTGAAAGTGGCTCTATCTTAATTGAGTGCTTTGAAGGGAAAAATTATTCTGTGCGGAAGCAGAACCCGTCCGAATATCTAAGCTTGTGGCTCAGTATCCCTCGGTACTTACAGAGGGTAGGTACCGCTCAGTATCGCTGACGTGGCTCATTCTGATTGTTATCCGGATGTAGAGCTGCATTCGACATCCACACAAAATAATCTCTCCCTTAAAGAAGGTATTTCTAGCGCGATGTTATTTTCCCCATAGATTTAGCCAAGAAATGGGTGAGGCTTCCTCAGGAGAGCATGCTTGTGACTAGAAACTGAGATAGAAGGCAAAATGAACTTAACTAATTTCTTAGCTGACCTTTAGCTGAATAAAAAGATGCCCATTTTATTTTGCTTTTCGATAAAGAGTATGGTAGCTTGAAGTTATGTATGATGGACAATCGGACATGTCCTCTTCGTAAGTCATGGGGAATCATTATATTCTTTGATCAAGGGCGTCAGATGGGACATGCTGCTCCCAAGTTAGTGTTTTTAAATTTAATTGTTCAACTATGTTTTCTTTTTAGAGAAGAGGTTTCATCATCTTTGTTGTTTCCTCACCTTCTATGGAGAGTTTCACGGACAAGGTCCATGGAAGGTTGCATGTGATTTTCACGCCAATTTATGAAGAATGAACAAATTATAATGCGATTTTCTTCCTTATATCCTCTACCTTAATGGGATTGGCCTAGTATTGACGCCATTAGTTTGCAAGTTTGAAAATATTTGTTGAACTAATGCTTTTTCTCTTGGAAATTGATGCAAATTAAATTCCTGTAAAAAGATCAAATCCTGATTGCATTTTTTTATTAAGGATGATTATAAATGTGACTTGGACAATCTTTTATATGAGAGTTCAATACTGTAAATAATTTGTATGTAGAGTTGGTAAATCTTATAAATACTATTGCAGTGATCTCATCCAGGATTCTGGTTTGTGTTGGTTTCCGTATATCTTCACGCCATTTTTTCAAACATAGACGTCGTTTGGCAGCAACAACAATGAATAGCCGGTCTATGAACGTGGAATTTGAGAAACACGTCAGTAAGAAGTCTGTCTACCTCTCAACAATCCTGGAGAAGTTGCATTTATGGGAAAAGAAACTTTATGACGAAGTTAAGGTACAGTCCTTGTATGAGAAAATTATGTTATACTTCTATGCATTTTTTTGTTACAACAATCTATTACTCTGCAGCTAGCTATTACATTCCGCCTGATTCTTGCAGTGTACTAAATGGTTCGTTCTGGAGAAATAAAGTTTTTTGTATTGTCAGGGATTCTTTTACACCAAAAATGCATCCAATCGAACAAACCCTTAACAACTAGATTTTCTCCTCTGTGCTAAGAGCAATGCATTATTCATGGCATTATGGTTTTGAGGACTTTTTAATAATTTTTGTGTTTATAAGTTAATAATTAACGTTGTACTTGTAACAAAGGCCCCTAAAGTATAGTGAACTTCCCTGTATATGCATACCTCGCAATTAACCATACCATCATAAGTTTATCTTCTCAGTTTATTCTCATTATGCAGACAACAAGCATGCAGATAAATTATGTCGTACTCAAAGAAAACACTGCTACATACTGCTCATACTATCATATATACTTGAATCATTTCCTTTATATATTCATGTACTATCATATATTCAAATATAAATAAACAGAGGTAGTAGCTCTATGCAATAAGATTAGAAAAGCGCATAATTCATTCTATTAAATCAAAATTATTAGATAATGATCATTGTGCAAATCAATTACTGCCACATGCTATTCTTATTATAGTAATTTAATGACGCTTAAAATATTTGAAGACAGCTTAGCAAAAGCTGTTCCAGAATATCAGTGAGGCAATACAAAAATTGTATGATAGCAGAAAGGTTTCATAGTAATGTAAAGGTCTTGATTACTGTTCAGTGAAGTACATGGTATATATAGAGTAAGCTAGTGCATGTGTAAGGCTGGGATAACAACTATTTGTTAAGCTTGAACGGTGGATGATTTGCTCTGTTTGTTACTGTCAGAATATTGAGTAGTGGTATTGGAAGCTTGCGCCTTTAGTCCCCCGCAAAGTGACCGGTTTGATTGGACCGTCAGTTTGGAATGAAGCTTGAGGAATTGGTTAGTAGAGAGTGGTTTTGTGAAGATGTCAGCAACTTGATCCATTGTGCTAATTGAATTGGGGTGTTAGTAATATGCTTGGCCTGTATATGATCTATGATGAAGTGATGATCTTTCTCTGTGTTTTGTCCTCGTGAAATACTGGGTTGTTGGCAAGGGCTATGGCTGACATGTTGTCGCAGAAAAGGGTCGTTGGATGAGGGGTGGAGATGTGAAAATAGGCCAGAAGATGTCAAAGTCATAAGACTTCGGATGTGGTAGATGCAAGCGTTCTATAATCTGCCTCAGTGGATGTACGTGTTACTGTATATTGTTTCTTGACATACCATGAGATAAGAATGTTACCAAGGAAATGAATAGTGGCCAGATGTAGATCGTCGGGTGGTTGAATTGCTAACCCAGTTGGCATCTGAGAGAGAAGTGAGCTAAAGGGGTCTGTAGGATATGGGTAAGCCGAAGCTGCATGTACCTTTGATTTATTATAACAATCGCTTGAGCTAATGAAAGTAGACTGGCTGCGGATCATGCATATGTTGGTATAGAGATTAACTGAATATGCTATATCTTGTATGGTTATTGTGAGTTATTGAAGTAAAAAATAAAAATAAAAAAAAATAAAAAATTGTGAGGTATTGAAGTGATCCGTTGAGTTGGCGATGGATGAGCGGAGTTTGAAGAACAGGATTAGAGAATGGTTGGAGGTTTGGTTTAGTTGGTGGGAGAGGACATGTGGTTGATAAGATGAATGATAGTAAGAGCTGCTTCGGGCCAAAATTGATAGGGAAGGTTAGCCACATGGAGCAAGGTTTGAGTAGTTTCGGTGATATGCCTGTTTTTGCATTCGGTGGTACCGTTTTGCTTTGGGGTATAGGGATAAGAGATTCGATGGTGAATACCATTTGCTTGGAGAAATGATTTTAGTGTAGAATTTAGAAATTCTTTGCTGCCATCTGTCTGTAAGCATTTGATGGTGTGAGATAGTTGTTTTTCAATGAAAGTTATGAAATTAATAAAGATTTGAGGAACATATATTTTATGAAATATTGAAAATAGCCATGTAAAACGAGAGAAATCATCTATAATTGGTAATATCTTTATCCTTGATGAAAAAGAATTGGGGACTGTCCCCATACTTCCAAGTGAAGTAAGGAAAGAGAAGAAGATACAATGTTTTGGGCTGTGGGAATAACTAATTTATGGCTTTTGCAAGCCTTACAATTAGAGCATAAACTAACATAAGTGGGAATGTCTAAATGTCGATTTTGATGAGAGATAAATGTTGTGACTCGATGATGCGGATGACCAAGTCTATTGTGCCATCTGAGGAAAAGGAGGTGGCCAGTAGTGCTAAGGCTGAAGTTGCTATGTTGGGAAGTTTAATGGTGTAAAGACCATTTCAACATGGACCTTGTAGGATAATTGTCTATGTCTTTAGGTCCTTGATGGAGAAGCCGGAAGGAGAGAAAGAAATAGAGACGTTATTATTGTGAGTGAGATTAGGAATTGATAAGAGGTTATGAGTGGTTGGGAACATGATAGATTTGAGACAGAGATAGCTTATGAGCGGGAGTGGGAAGTATTCTAGCTCTAGCGTGAGCTATGGGTACGTTGCCTCTATTGCCAATAGTAATGTTGCCCGTGTCATGATATGGGATTGGTTGAACTATATTGTCCAGTGAGTAAGGTGTGATGATACTCCAGAATCAATGTACCCTTCGAGCTTGGGGGACGACGTGTCTGCTACTAGCGCCTGGATGAGGTCAGCAGTGGGTTGGGAGTGTAATTAACGTTCAAAGGGTGCCAGCATTGGGGTGCTGAGTGCCTCTTCTTGCTGCATATTTGACAAGTAGTCGGGGAAGAGAGATTCGCACGGCCGACAGGGGAAGAACTTGGAGAGAGCGACCTCTACCTCGGAACGCATACAGGGCTGTATGTGAATCAGTCAAATGGTGATCTCTGGAGGATTCATCGATTAAGTTAATTTCTTCACTAATGAGTAGAGAGTAGAGGTTATCTAGGCTAATGGGTGTTAGTTTTGTGCGAATAGAAGTCTTGAATGCTTAGTAGGAGAGGGGTAAGCCATTGAGGATGTAGAGTATAATATCTTCTTGATCTACAGTGGAACCGGCAGCTGCTGCAGTGGTAGTGGAAGCTTGCACCTTTAATATTGAAGTATGAGATCTATTGATAAAGTTTTGGCTTCCAATGCTAGTGTTGATAGATAAAACCTCCACCTATCATGTTAATGCAAACTCAGAAACCATACAAACCTAAATCATGAGAAGTGGATTTATCTTCTACCAAATAACCCTCAATTCTCTGCCTCCAAATCAAATATCTTATCCTTTTGACCTCCATCTTTCTCCCTTTCAAAAGCGGCTAGAATAAATCTAGAATTATATAAAGCGGCTACTATAAAATAGTTTAATTTTGGTTGAGCACAACAACAAATTATTTAGGATAAACATGTAAAAAAAAAAGATAAATAAATAAATAATCTCCTAATTATCCAATTAATCCCAGAAACCAGGATTTGACAATCCTCCAAATTTAAAGAAAGTTGTCCCGCAAAAGTTACATCTTCAATCAACACGTGTGATACAAAATCATCTAGTTAATTCAATGTGCATCTCCAATCAACTTATGATCCAGGATATGTCGCTAAATTAATTCTTATCCTTGATCAACTTATAAATACTATAGCATCATTAACTTAATCTGACTTGTATATTGGTAAAAGTGCAAATGAGCAAGGATTGATATAATATCATCTCATCAATTTAATATAAAATCCAGCTCAATAGAGGAAACCATTCTGTTAGATCCTCAATGTAGCCTATAAAGCAGCAAACTGGAACATAACATAATAATCAAAATGAACTATCTACACAACCAAAATACTACAAATCCTGGAATCATACCAACAACAACAACATCAAGCCTTTATCCCACTACGTGGGGTAGGCTACATGAATCCTGGAATCATACCATGTTTTTTTATTTCCCTTGCATCCGTATTAAAGCATAGAGTAGAAGTTGTCGTTCAGTGGCTGTTACTTCCTGCAATCCATTTGAACGACCAAGAAATTTATGAATATATGCAACATTAGCGGATAAGAAAATATTCCTTGAAGATAGCATGTTTCACAATTCTAATAACCTAGCCTGCCCTGCACGCAATCATTCCTTTGACAGAGTCTTCAATTATAATACAAGGTTATTTCTATTTGTCACAATCATAGTGCAAGTCAAGTGAGCCAAGTTGTTAGCATATAGCCATATAGCCAGTAAGACTAGAGCATATGAAAATTATTTCCAAATGACGATTAAACTGATATTTTTTTAATTTTTTAATAAAATAATTACTAAATCTTTCGCATTTTTTTTTCATCAATTGTTGTTACTGCAATTAGTGAGGACTGAAAACAAATGTGTGTGGATAACTTGTGGTTGGTACTGCTTTTCGATATTTTTTTAAAATACGATCTTTTTTTAACTGAACCATTTGATTAATTTTGTAATTGTATAGACAAGCATTTGGTCTTATTCAGGTATATTCTGATGCAGTTTTTTTTTTTCCTACCTATAAAAACTAGTAGAAGACTTCTTAATCTACCTATATATATACACACACACGAACATACCATGTATCAGTTGGATATATAAATTATTTGTTGCATCATCTAATCTTTAATGTTGAAGCATATCATTCATTTGCGTAAACTTTTTAACTACTAGGAAAAATAGCTGGTAAAAACTAAAAAAATACCGTTTGGATGACTTTCTATTTGAAGTTTTTAAAATTTTGTCCTTAAAAAGTTGCTTTTGAAAAGCATAATACAAAATGTAGATTTTAGCAGCAAAAATAGAAAAGCATAAGCCGCCCAATTCAAAGCGGATTAATCCTGACCCACCCAATGAAGTTGTAACTTATATATTTTGCTGAAGTTGCTGCTAAACCTTTCTTTTCTTCCTTGTGCATTATGATTAATTGGATATAAGTTTGAGAAGTTTCAGTTCGTTATGCATTGCGATTAATTTGATATAACTTAGATAAGTTTTAGTTTTTGAGCAAGTTATTGTGATTTTATTTTGAAACAAAAGTACTTGTTAAATTGATTAGGTGGTTGTCCTAGGCTGAAGAAAGATTGCGTGTCATCTATGAGAAGAAGTTGAGGAAACTAAAATCACTGGATGATAGGGGTGCAGAGCTCCATAAGATTAATGCTACGCAAATCTCAGTAAGATCAGTGCGCACAAAGATAAGCATTGCAATCACTTCTGTTGATGTTATTTCAAAAAGAATGAACAGGATAATGGACGAGGAGTTGCAACCTCAACTTGTGAAATTAATCCAACGGTACAAAACAAAACGATTTCTGAATTTCCTGAATTTATCCTCTATGAAATGTCTTATTTGCTTCATCCATGGAGAAATTACCATGAATAGACTGTCAATCATCTTATTACTACATTTTTGAACATGTTTGATTTCTTTCACTTGCCATCTTCCGAAGATTTTTAGCCTTCTTTTTGTCTTCATAGTTACATAGTTTACCTTCTCTTTAATCCTTGTTGTAGTTGCTGTAGTCCCACCTTTTTTTTGTCTTTCTCAACAATCTTCTCACAAGCTCCGGTCACAAAATTATTATATATTTAACATCTAGATTTTTATATTTACATAACGTCAGTATCTCTACATCACGTTCAAAATATCATTAGCATGAACTTATTTGACTTTTCATGCATAACTTTCTATGTAATTTAAACAGTAAGGTAATATATATATGTAAATAAAAGATTTTTAAGTGTTTGATATGCAATTACATAAGAAATTTATTTTTGTAGATCCCAATATCCATATGATCTATATTCTTCATGATTTTTTTTTTATATTGTTCCAATAGGATGTCGTATGTAACACTGCAAGCTCATGAAATGATTTTTTTTTTTTTCTTTTTTTTTTCTCATGAAATGATTATTTTGTTTGCAGATTAACCCAAATGTGGAAACTGATGCTGGGTTGTTATCAAAAGCAGTTGCGTGCTATAGTAACTAGCAAAAACTATAACATCCGTATCAGAACAGTCCAGGATTCAGTTACAAATCCCACAATAGATCTAGAGCTCATACTCCTGAAATGGCTTGCCACTTTTAATGAATGGATCACCTCACAGAAATCTTTTGTCAACTCTCTAAATGGATGGCTATCAAAATGGCTTTCCAAAAATCGCGAAGAAACTGATGATGGGATTGCCCCCTTCTCTCCAACCACCATTGGAGCTCCTTCTCTTTTTATCTTAACCAACGACTGGTCTCAAGTTATAAACAGGTTATCCGAAGCCGACGTGAAGTCCGCAATTCAAAGCTTTGCCGCGAATATGCACAAACTCAGGGAAACTCAAGATTTGGAGCAGAAGCTAAACCAGAAAGCAGATTCTCTGTCCAAAGAGTATTCTGCAAAACTAAACATTTTGCAAATGGAAAATGGAGACCGAGATTTGTCAACAATCGCAAACATCGAAAATACAGAGGATGATGAACGTTTTACCGCGCTGGATTCCATGAAGAAAAGATTGGATGAAGTAAAAGCAAAGCATGTTGAAACATTAAAACAAGTTCAAGAAGTTAGCTCAGCCAGCTTAACAAAAGGTCTAATTCCAATATTTCAGTCATTAAGTAGTTTTACCTCAGAGATTCTACGAGCACACGAAGCTATTCGTATTCCAAATAACGCTGGTGGAAGAATTTCGAGTTCAGAAGGCTGAGTTCTATTTATTACTCGTTTCAGGTGAGGATTGTAAGGTTTTCCTATTGGTGGATGAAGTCTGCGGATCTGTACAGAATTCATTGATTGGTTTATTGGTTGGTATGGTATGGTAGGATCATAATTAAATTTTGGTAGTTTATACAGTAAGAAAAAGAGGATGGGCATTTTTGCAGACAGTTGTAGGATTTTTGGAGTTTTATAAGGATTTTAGGAAATATTTGTAGCCATGGATATAGGAGCAGAAGAAACAATAATGCCTTTATTTTTTTAAGTTCCAGGTGTAATCATAGTTGATCTTTAATATGATTGGTATTTTCCCGTTAAGTATTTTATGCTTGATTATGAAATATACTACTATTAGTTTCAATCTCCTGAGTTGGGTGATCAAACAGGATTTTATATGGACAGTGATGTACCTGAGTTAATTTGACTCATGAGTTAGTTCATGCTAACCTCAATAAATGGTGTGTGAGTTAAAGCTTGATGAGTTAATTAGTCAAAATTGGGCGAGTCATTAGTCATCTTGTTAGCTTGTAACTGACTGATAACTTTTTTAAAAAATATTAAGATAGAAGAACAATTTTAAGGTCTATTTATAACACTTGAAATATGTATATTTATAAAATCTAACACTCACATCTGTTTTTTCTAGAACAAATTTATTATAAATTCATAGTAAAAGAATGAAGCTATATAAGTACATGTATGAATGATGTTATGCACAACTCATCTTGGTCTGTTAGTTGGGGGTTTTAGCTATAAATCAAGAGGTTTTGAACTCGAATCTTGCGTATGTAATGTGTGTATGAGTTTGACTACTTCGGCCTGAATGTCTAAAACAACATGTATGAATGACGTAGAAAATCCTATGTTAGGGGCCTCAGAGCATTCATGGAGATGGCCTGTAATTAGAAAGTATAAACTTATCAAAACATTTAAAAATACTCTTATTTTATCACTTCTTTTATTTTTTTTTATTATTTTGTTGTAATATTCATTTAAATTGCAATTATCTTTTACTTTTTATAATAATAAATGAGCAAATTTGTGAATCAATTTGAATTCGTAGTATTGACTTCAAGCTCGAACATAGGTTTCTTTTAGGATGATTTTTTTATTATTTCTTAAATCAAATTTGTAATTTTTTAACTAAAAAAATTCTTCAAAAAGCAATAAAAACTCATTCAAATCGGAGCCTTAATTAATTAATCATGCTCAAATTCAAATCACTAGTGGTCCATTGATAATTGATGCATATGCAGGCGTTTTAGTAAAGAAAACTAACACAATCATATAAAATATTCCCAATTAAAAGACTTGTGCTAGTTCAGCGTCTTCTTCCATAGATATTTCCAAAAAAATTCTACTGAATAAGCGTTGACTTCATTACAGTAAAGGGGAAAAAAAAGAAAGGAAAAGGAAAAGAAATGAATAATCTGAGTTTGAATTTGAACACCACACGCAGCAGACTTCCATTCTTCCTCCAAAATTATGCACTCTGATAAATAACTAATTTAAAAATTTTTCCAAAAAAAAATAATTGTGTGTGATTATCAAACCCCTTCTTTTATGAAGACAATAAAAACAGTTCATTGACAAAAAGAATGGATGAAGGAAGGAAAAGGATATTGAACTTAAATGGGAGTTAAATAGTTATAATCTTTATAATATGATAAATTAAAATAATTAGTGCCCAAAATATATTGATCAAATATTAGTTTAAAATATTACTAAACATTGGAATTTTTAAGTTAAATATTTAAAGTTGCATTTTATTTTAATGTCATGAATAAGTAAAAATAGTTTTTGTACGCTCAATATTGCCCGAGTCAAGTTAGCTTGTCATTATGAATAGAGTGCAACAAGTCATCTAGCATTTGAAACAAATTCCCCAAACCTCTTAGGATGCTCAAAGAAGATATTCAATGAGTTGCTAAAATGAACTCGCCATTTAGTTGAAGCCATCGAAATAAAGGACATGCAATGTAACACCTAGGGTCTAATTTTGAAAGAAATGATCATTTATCACCAGAGCTTTTATGAATTCATCAATATAAATCAATCCAACGTAAACAATTAAATATCATATACATCAACACATAAAATTATATCCATCCTTCAAAATTCATATGCAGAAGTTAGGAGATCAATCATTATATTCATTTCAACTTTCTAAGCTTCTAACTATAGAAGAATAAAATTAAAGAAAATGTAAAAACAAAATAAAACATGAATCCCAAATTTGCCTCACTTCCATGGATCCTAACCTCTTCTACTACAAAATGGGCTAATAACTCAATAGATTATCAAAATCTACAACTAAAATTAATGCAATATAATATAAATAGTATGCATGTAATCGTTTAATCACTATCACTATGAATATATAGTTGTAAAAGCATGTAACAATTAATAAAACATTAATAAGTTATATGATCAATAAATATTAGTACAAATGTATATCTTAAGACCAGTGATTATTAATTTACAACCAAGTGAACCGTGATCAATAAGTTCGATCAATCCTATACCTAGCAGTTACATAACATTTTATATAGCATATTATTACATCAGTACAACCGTCATTATCATATGCATGTAGTATAGTATCTATGTTATCTATGTACATCATGTAAATCATGTGATTCATATATATTAAATGCATTTATATCAGTTTTATGAGTCTTATCAAATACTTTTATATCATTTATATCATGTATCTTATGTAAAACATATCATATAAGTACTGTAAGCAAGAAAAGGCATCAAGGTATCAATGATATATATTTTTTTTGTATCTAATTTTGTAGGCCAATCCTATAGGAATCAATCATATCACAATTCGGCCTGGTGATTTTGATATCAGAAGTCTTCACTTCATGTCCTTCGATATATCATATTATATCAATTTGTCTCATTATGTCTCTTTTTCATATAATTTAAGAATATACCATAAATCTTACTTTAAAGGAAAGCCCATCAACCACCCTCCTGTAAAAGATAACAAGTCTCTGGCCAACCTAAACCAGTCAATTTGTTTTAGCCGACCATTCCTACGTACATAAATTTCAAAACATATATAACATAATAAACATGTGATATTATACTCAATATTTAGTTCACTATATCATATTAATGCATGTAAAATTTGCATATGAACCAAAATGACTAGAATTTATAAGAAAGTGTGTTTTTTTTTTTCACATTTATGTACTCAAAATGACTATATTATAATAAGTATGCATGTCATACACTCATATGAAAAAAAAATTATAATTTTTTAACAAATTTCTAAAGGATATTTCTTCTAAAATATAAAATTATCTCATGAAAATTTAATATGTTCTAGTCAAAATGCTCATATTTATAATATATACCACATACTAAAAGTTATGCGATGAAATTTTACTAAAAATCAAGATATCATAACTTTGTACATTCTGATAAAATAAAATTAGTAAAATAGTAAATACATAAAATTATTAAAACCAGAGGAAGGATAATGGTAGTCTACCTAGAGATGAACATTTTTTTCAATAGGATCGAGTGACAAAATTTACTTTATGACCTCCAAACTTTATATTTTCTTTTCTCTCTCATCTCTTTTCTTCTCTAATTTCTCTTTAATTCTCTGTTAAATGAAAAAGAAAAGGAAAAATTGCTATGTAGCTTATAGGAATTGGGAGGAGATGTTTTATAATAAAATATATTAAGGGTAAAATGGTAATTATGTCAATTATTAAATTTCCATCATAAAATCCAAAAATTCTTTTCTATCTTGAAATTCAAATCTATAAAAATTTTAAAAAAATATATCAATAAAATAGCTAATCATGTTAGAAAGTTTTGATGTAACAGTTTGTAAAATAGATATCTAATGGACCCAAAAATTTCACATATACTAATAAATGCCAATTTTCTATGTTGCCCCTAAAATTAGGAGAAAATTAGTATAATTAAAACACAATAATATACATATTATGGAAAATATAGTTTGCAACTTTGACTTATAAGGACTCTAAAAAAATATTTAACATGATCTTTTTATGGACTTTTATAATATCCTCAACCTTAGAACAATGTTGTCCTCGACATTTCTCATTACATATCAATGATCACTTGTCACATCTGTCATTTATATCAACCATCAATCATATCTCTTATCAATCAAATAAAATTATTTGTGTATATCATTCAATATACATGTCAATCATTTAATCATATGAATGTAGTCCTCGACATTTCTCATTACAGATCATTGATCACTTGTCACATCTGTCATTTATATCAACCATCAATCATATCTCTTATCAATCAAATAAAATTATTTGTGTATATCATTCAATTTATATGTCAATCATTTAATCATATGAATGTAAATAAAATATATTCATTTTATTTTAATCGAAATAATAACATTCGAAAGAGAACTTATACCAATGGGCCTCTCTAGAGAATCTCTCATATCTTGGTGACTTATATTGTTTACTCTCGGCTATATTAGAGGTGGTGTCATCGATGACTGTATGGGTTGCCTCTGTTCTCATTTTCCTTTCTTTCATTTGTCCCGCTTATAAAACCTTGACTAGATATTCAAGATCCTGCAAGTCTCTAGCTATTGCTTGTATAGACTGATCGAATCTAGACTTAGACCTCTCCCCCAGTTTATCATCTTGTTTCTGTACTAACCACATTGAAAGCACTGTCTAGTGAGTAGATACCACTATCATGTATGTCTCTTCCCACATATGGGACACTCATGTACACTACCAGCTGATACCATGGATCATCTCCTAACATCAATAAATATGCTTCTCTTATCACCACTTTCTCCTCTAGTTATCTCTTCACCTACTCTCTTTCTACTCATGTCAAATTATTTTCCACTAGTCTCACTCTCTCCACTAACTCCAAAAATTCCTGAATTCTTAATAGAATTAATAGATGCCTCAGCTCATCCTTCATTCATATCATAAACTTCTAGCGTTTTTCCTTAACAGTATTGACCAGTTGTGATACATGCCTCATTAATGCAATAAACTCAGCTTCGTACTACATCACTATTCTGTTCCCCTATTTTAATTTCATGAAATTCTCATGCATCTGTTGTCAGGCTGACAGAGGTACAAACTAGTCTCTGAAAATAGCAATAAACTCCACCCAAATATTCTATGCATTCATCTTTCCTCAAAATTTACTATCCTATCCACCATCTCTCATCTTATCTTTCAAATAGAAATACTACCAATGATACTTTTATATTCTCTGGACATTGCATACTATCAAATATCTTCTCTATCCTTAGTAAGCAATCTTCTACTGCATGTAGTTCTATAGCTCCCTTGAACAACGGACACTTCAACTTGTGAAACATTTGTAAATATTCATCCTCTTCAATCTACTTGCTCCCAATTAGCATGCTCTGTGCATCACTTGTCAGTTATGTTATCATACTGGCAAACTGCATGAGGATATCATAACTCATTGGGGCAATCGCACTATGTTCATTTGGCACTTTAGGTGGATCCACATTGCACTTAGTATAGTTTTCTTTTCTATCAAATTATAATTTAATCATACATATGCATGGAATGAATGAAATGAAAATAAATTCTAACATTACCCATTTCTACCCATATCAATTATTTTCTATAGTTATCATTAAAATTCAATTTTTCCAATAACCTTTTCTTTAATACCAATTATAACACCCTGGGTCTAATTTTCAAAGAATTAGTTATTTATTTATTTATTAACTTCTATAAATTTATTAATATAAATCAATCGAGTGAAAACAATTAAAATCATATACATAAAAATATAAAATTATATTCATCCCTCAAAATTTATATATAGAAGATAGGAGATCAATCACTACATTTATTTTAATTTTCTTAGCTCATGACAATAAAAGAATAAAACTAAAGAAAATGTATAAATAAAATAAAACATAAATCTTAGATCTGTCTCACTCCCTCGGATCCCAACCCTTTCCTGAAAAATATGTAAAGCTATAAAGTGAGCTAACAGCTTAGTAGATTACCATAACCTACAACTAAAATTAATGTTTGATAATAAAAATAGTATGCATATAATCATTGAATCACTATCAGTATAAACATATAATTATAAAAGCATGTAACAATCAATCAAATAATAACAAGTCATATGATGAAAAAGTATCAGTATAATTGTATATCTTAAGAGCAATAATTAGTAATTGACAACTAAGTAAAACTTGTCATTATCATATTTTTGTCATATAGTGTTTATGTATGCATGTATATCCACGCTCACAAACTACAAAGTTGAAATTTGAAATTAGTTTGCAAAGGAGTCATGTAGGAAGATATAGTAGCCCGTGCAATCAGTGACAACAGACATATTGCAAGAATAATGGATCCTTGGTGAATGCAAATATACATCCATGGTGTCATTTGCAAGCAATTATAAGAAGCTTGTCATGAGTAAATGTGAATTTCTCATGGATAATAGCTGAAGATCCAAGACACATATAGAAGTTTACACATTGACGATGGCAAATGACAAACAATGGATATTGCGACATCCCTGTAGCCAACTGTCACTCGGCATGGAGTAAATACACTGGTCTTCTACAAGCAAAGAGGGATGATACATAGTGAATGCAAATTCCTACTAGCTACTACAGAAGACTCGCTATAATTACTAGGTGTCGTCTATATGCAAATACATAAGGGCTATGAAAAATGCAAGCTCCTACGAGCTGCCATAGAAGACTCATCAAATTTTCCAAGAGTGCCTCCGCACGTGCACTATAATACGTATACACATAAACACGAAGAAATGCATATGAAATTATATACATGCATGGGCCCCGATGAGCATGTTGTGTTTATGCATGTGACGTCTGAGGATGATGTGCAAGTCAATAAATGAACTTAAATTCAAGCCTAATCCTTATATATGAATAGATATGAGTCGACATGGCTCAAGCTATCGAACAAAGGCACGGTCATGATGTTGACCGAGATATTTATTTAATACGTTCGTATTATACCTTCAAGGTCTATAATAAGATAAATTCATTAACAAAATACCCTCTAAACACTTACATGGGCCCCAACAAGCATGCTATAGGTATATACTTGACGTCTGAGGATGTTGCACGGGTCAAATGACAAATTCAAGTCCGAGCTTGATCCTTTTATAAGAGTGTATAGGACTCGATATGACTCGAACTATCAAACAAATATATGGTCAGGGTATCAATCAAGATATTTATTTTAATACGTTCATGTTAGGCCTTCAAGGCCTATAACAAAAAAAAAATACACTAACAAAAGCATGTAGCCGACAACGAACCCAATCCTTTATCGACAAGTTGACAGAGTCGACGAAGTTCAATTCACAAATGCAAATGCCCATAATTACTCTAATGATGGTCGTGTTAAGCGTAGATCTCAACCGGAAGGGTTAATTCTAAATATTTTAAAATGCCACCCAAATACCCGTGAAATTCAAAAATATAAAAAACTCAAAATTTAAAAGTATTTAAATCGAAATTAACCATCAAATGCTTAAAGCAAAACACATACACCCTCCACAGTGGTTTGCTTGGGTGGACAAATTCAAATATCACTTCAGCTCACAAAGAGCTAATTATTTGTCGAGAATTTTACTAGGATTCATTATCAAATCATCTCCTCATAGTAAGGATCCTCTAACCGATGATTTTGCTGTCAAATGACACTGCATGTAAATGGTTATGACTGAGCCCCCTGAACTGGGTGATTTGCTGCCAAATGGCGTCAATTAATTACAGTCATGGCCATAGCCAGTATGCTCCCCAATGGGATATGATCGAAACGGCACAAAGCTCCTTTGTTAGCTAATGTGGATTCAAACTTGTCCCCTTAGACAAATATCTTCCCCAGGTCTACAAGGTACCATTGGACGACACAACTCATGGCTGCCGACAAGGATCATTTTGTCAAGTTGGGTTGACTACCTCCTCTAAGTAGACTAGGGACCACGATGGCCTGGGACGACGGAACCATGAGATCTTGATCGAGCTCATCATCCATTTCCTCACCATCTGCTTTAAGTACAAGGTGATGAATTTTCAATTTTAAATACCAACCTCTCAAATAACAACTTATGCTGCTACTATATGCTGAATATACACATCTCTACGTATCTGATTGACAACTAGACTTAATCGAAAGTTCTCTCTGGCTATCATGTGAGGTAATTAATTATAAGGGCTTGCGTTTATAGGAAACAAAAACTCGGATCATAAAGTCCTTGTAAAATGAGGGTGAAATTTATGGGTAGTCTTATCTACCAACACAATTTGCATTTTGAAAATGTACCCCGAACCTTAATTCGTTAAAACTCCCCCAAAGCAAGGGAGACTGGGGCGTGAATTTACAGAGCCCACAATCACATGCTTAATGAGGTGCCAAATTGTGCAAATAAACAAGCTTCAAGCAACTTCAATCAGGCAAAAGAATTTTTGCTTAAACATCACAATCTCCATAAATATAGTTAGTGCTCATAAATTTCACTGCGGTTGAGAAACCTATAGACGACAAAAATTTATAATGATGTAATCATTGTTATGATGCTGATAACAAACTATATTTGCAATATTCCTATCATAGAATGTCATAAGGCCTCTCCATACATCACTTCAAGCTTTCAATCCCTCAAAAAACAACAAGCTCTTTTCCCACATATTGTCCTCTATTTGGATCATCCAACATTCTCTAAGTGATGCATCATTAAACACATCATATTTTTCACCAAAAGCAATGCACAAGCATCATCCAGATGATGAAGAAAATCATGACATACATAGTGAGAGAGTACAACAATAGCACAAGTTGTAAAATGATAATATATTCAATTTGCATCAGTGGGGCAAGTTCTACAAATTTTGCATCCAAATCCAGATCTAATAATCCTCAGATCAAAAATAGAGCCATTCAAGTTTTAAAAAATCAATCAATAAAAAGATAGCAACAAAGAACCGGGATTTTATACTAAAAATACAGATATCTAAAGAACTAATAAAACTATATCATGGAGGTTGAGATGTCATAGTGTAAATAGAGAAGGATTATATTTCATCCTGAGCCCAAATAAAGAGCTGTTCTGTTGCAACAGTGGAGTTGAGAGGCTTCAATTCAGTTCAAACTGCATCCACACCACCTATGTTGCAAGAATTGGCTATAACAATTGTTATTGTATAGAGATATTTCTTCTATCTTCTGCTCTGTGGCGAAAAAGCTTTGCTATGGACCGCCTCTCACAATCCTAACGAAATAAGTATTTGGTTATGTCACTAATGGATGAAAATAAATAAATTCTCTATGAAACTAAACGAATTTTTTTCATTCTTCATACCTTGAACATGTTCAGATGGAAGTTTTTGTCAGGATTCTTCCTTCTGAGCTTCAAATAAGTATATGCAAAGCTCAGCTGGTCACGAGGAGTCCAGTGGTCCACTTCATTAAACCAAAGACATGAAAATAAGTTTGACATTGGCGTGTGCGCTCGCACAATGAAGGAGCCCTCCGGCACATCTGTTTACAAGTAATATAGAATGATTACCAATTGGTTTAGTTAAATTATAACTAAGAAATTTTGATAAAAGCCTCATACAGCTAGGAAGCAATTTGTTGGGATCTGATGGGTCAAATTGTTTCAGGCCATCTGACTGATAGAATTCAAATTGTTGATCAATGACAGTGTGGTTGTACTTGTTTAGTTTCTTGTTCTGGGCAACCTCCTCCCAAACACAATGCCGGTCATAATGGTTGGAGATGGCATATTCATAACCTCGCCGCCAAAGGAAATATTCTAAGATGAGGAAGGGATCATTTTGTAGACGTAATTTGCTATCAAGCCAGATTGAATATCTGAGGTCAGAGAAGGGGTCCTAAAATTAGAACAAATAATAAACCAAAGAACTTGCACAGTGATGAGTAGAAGTGAACTCAAAAGGAAATTGAAAGGATAATAAGCTTCTACATTGCCAGAAATTTTAATAAGAGAGAAAAGTAAAGGCAAGCACACCTAGCAGATGGGAAAAGTCGATGTGTTAAGAACTTGGGAATTTTCCCAACTCTCCTCATATCAGGGTAAGGCAAGTTGTGAACAACCACAATCTTCCACAAACCAATAGAACCTGTACTATCCATCTTCTGGCCTTCTGAAAGCAACGTCTGCAATGTAATTTCATCCACAAACATAATAAAGCAGACATTCTTCCTAGACTGGCGTGAAATCTGCATCAATCAAAAAATGGAATTCAGACATGAAATACATTTGTTTAGTTGTAAGTCCAAATCAAATGAGTGGCATAATGCGCATACTAAGATAATGCAAAATAATGGAAATTAATCAGCATCCTGATAGATTTTGAATACAATTGTTACATTTACAGAAGACGTTGGACTATATGAAGATGTACAAGTATACAATTTATTTGAGCATAAAACTATTGCCGTTGCCAGGTCCCAAGTCCTGGATGAGAAAAGTGGAGGATTGCGTTAGGTAGTCGACAGTCAGCATAAAATTTATCGAATAATCATGACATGAATGCCAACCCCACGTAGTGGGACAAAGGCTTGTTGTTGTTGTTGAACTATACATGGACAAAAGGAAAAACTTTTGAAATGTTCCTTTTGACTTCCACGTTGACTCTCATAAGGCAGCACTAAATAAGCCACTTTTCCAGTCATAATAGAAAACTCAGATAGGTATAGAAACCAGTTTAGCATCAAAATTATCATATTAGTCCCAATACAGGAAAGCAGCTAAACTTCAATTTCACGGTCAGGCTAAGTGGAAGAAAAAAAAAAACCATGTTTAGCAATCATGTTTCTGTTTTCTGTATTTTGTTTCCTTTAAAGAAAAACGGGCACTTGACTGAAACGAAAACATGCTTGGCAACTATGTTTCCATTTTATTTTTTGGTAAAAAAAAATCGGTTCTTTCCACAAATTTTGAAAACATCTATAAGAGTGCTTTCATATATTTTATAAACATGCCGAGGTGATTGATTTGATTGATTTTACAAAGCTAATTGGAGATTAGTTACATGAACCCTTTTATTTTTTATTCCTCAACCAATTTCCTATTTTTAAAAAAAGAAAAGAAAACATCCAAATATTTTTTATTTTAATTAAAACAAAAAAATGAAAATAAAACAGATTAATGTATGGCCGGATTTTCTGGAATGCACCTATGCAAAATGGCATGGAAGGCTCATAGTACGCGGATTGACAACTAAGTTAACTATGCCTTCCCCACAAACAACACCCCCAACAGAAAGAAAAAACCACTTGCAAGGCAAATGAAATTTCAATAAAGCAAAATCCACCAGGATTTTTATTTTGAACTATCACGCTTGTCCAATATATAGCTGTCTTCTGAATATTTCTTCCCATCACCGTACAGAGCCCACACGGACTAAGTGTAACGAATGATCCTTGCACTTGCATTAATTAAGTTCATAAAGTTAATAGTGTTGTTGGAACATCGTGATTGAACATCCCAAAGTTTCATACATTTTGCTCATCTTCGAATAGTATATGACAATTAATTCTTCCAATGAGTTAATTACTAGATTAAAATTGCTTTGAATAATGGATTTGTATGCTGCACATCCATATCTTGCTGTGACAATAGATATCCCAAATAGTTTACATAAGCACTTGATAATTTCAAGGTTATCATTGATTTGATTGTTTGAGGGCCAAATATTGTTATAAACTTTCATCTATGGCTGTATAGTCTTATAATGCTCTTCTAAAGGTAAGTACAAAGCTTTTCGCATATTATGATCTCTTAGCCAACTATTTGGAGCACGGTAATATATCAACATAGGGAGCTCATTTTATGAGACACGTGTACAGAGTATGTGCAGTCCATAATTAATTCTACATTTCTTAACCATTTATAAGGCAATAGCTTACAGAATTTCATCTGGCCATTAACTTCATTTGTGAAAAAAAGTCCATTGTGTTATCTGACTTGACTTCTGTACAAGATTGGTGTCAATAAATTTTCATTTAGTCCGACTTTCATCTGCCAAATCCACCCTCAATTCTATCCTTCAATCTAAATATATAAACCAGTCATGCCTGTTTTTAATTGCTTTATTTCAAAATAGGCAATAGATGACACTCATGTTATCTACATAATATTTTATCCTTCCTAATCTTACCATAATCTTAGCGTTCTCATTTTTGTCACATTCAACTTAGTTATCAGCAACTTTTTAATTGCCAAACATTTGAATTGATACAACATAACTAGCCTAATTGAAGTTTATTACAGTTTACCTTAGTCTTTATCATACAATACTTTTGAAACACTTCTTGTTTTTAACCACCATGTACACCCATAGTCATACAAGTCAGGTTCATTGAGTCATCTCAACTAGGTTCAACAAATAGTCAATACAACCATCAAGACGCCTCATAAGTTGGACCTTGAACTCTCCCTAATAGCACTATCAACCTTTGAAATCTGCTAAATATTAGATCTACTAAATTACCAAGCTTATAGGGAATTCACCAAACTATGAAAGAAGTTTCCATAAGATCAATTTGAAGCTCATCTATAGTTATTTATTAAATTAAACAACTACAAGCAAGTTACACCTATTAATTTTTGTAGAAAGCATTTGTGAAGCCTTATTGTGTGATTTCATGTAGCGTTGAACCTCAATCCAAGCCTATAAATAAAAGTTCAGAAGATGAGAATCAGACATTTTAACACAACTTGGTTGACTTAAGACATCAAATTGTACTTTCTGATAGCAATTTAGTGAAATCATTTATAGTTACAAATCTTATTCATAGGTGGAGCCATCCCATAAGAATTTATAATGAAAGTCTTAATCATAAAGGGAAGTGCGCTTAACAAACATTGCAACTCATTTACATGTTTTAGTCAAAGCGAATGCTAAGATATTCATTTGATTTTTCCTTAAAAATTAAAATATAATTTTGATGGAATGAACACAAATCAAACGTATCATAGAAATTTGATCGTCGAACATCTTGATCATTGTTGTCTCACAGATTGGAAGATGTTGAGGTATTGTAGTGATGCTTGTAGGTGTTAATGAAACAGCCACAATAGGGTTAGTAGGTGCAGATACAAGATCCCCTAAATCCAAAGAATAATCTAAATTGGTTCCAATTTTTGATTGCAAAACTAATCTAGTTTAGGGTTTAGGGTTTAGGGTTGAAACATTTAGAGAAATTGTATTGGGTCGGGCCTGATTGCTTGATTGTATCTATTACCTCGTATAATTAAATTTTATCAAATATGAATTAGCCTTGAAACATTTAGAGAAACTATGCCCAAAAAGTTTGTTGGATAAACAATATGTTGAGATGTCTTCAAATTCAACCATTTGTCTGCATCCATAAATCAACGAGCTAATCCACACCTTTTCTATCTAATAAGAAACATATAGTAAAATATAGTCACAAAAGAACTTAAAAGAAAATCAACAGTATTATCCACTTACAAAGATTTACAAAATACTAAGATAATATAAAGTAGTTGATTGAAGTAATCTGAACAGATTCAAGAAAATGTAATTCAAAATGGAGTGCTAGAAGAGTCAAAATGGAGCGACCATATTAACATATGCATCTAGAAACCACTGATGTAGTAGGACCACCAATAGAAAAATCTAGTGTAGTTTGCTTCTAAAAAAAATCTAATAATAATAAGAAGAGGGTCAATGAGCCCAACAGAATGGTCACGAGTTGAATGCAAATAAACCATAAATTTGTTGATAATCTCTAGATTAGGTAGCCCATCGAAAATATGCTAACAGTAAATAAACAAAGAAACATACCAAGTTCTAATATCTCTTCTTCAGTGAGGATAAGAGAAGATTTATCCTAATATGTGGATGAATGCTTATAAGGAGGTGATACTGAATCTTGATGAAAAAAAAATAGTTGTTTCATGATGAGGAATGAAATATTTGATCATTTTTCCCATCAATAACATTACCAAATCAGCGAGGAGGGTCGATGGCTGAGGCACTAGTTCCAAAGGTGAGGAAGTAGGAATAGAAGCCTATAAGAAGCAAGGCGCCATTGGGATTGGAAATGGCAACCTGGCTAGGATTTCATCCTAAACCCTGAGTGTAACCAATATAAGATAAGGTGGGATCCAATGAAAAATCACTGGAAAAGCAAGGGGGGGATCCAAATCGAAAGGCAAAATAATAGGTGGCGGCAACTTGAGCAAAATGAATTGAATAAATGAGAAAGCGAGAGGAAGAGTAGTGTCACGACCTAGCCCGAAAGTTTGAATTTAGGAGTCCAGAACAAACAGTCGGACTGTTATTTAAAATTTTCTTTTACTAAAATTTCTAACAACTATCTCCAGAATACTAAAAGAGCCACCTAACTTCAAATGTATTTTAAAGCAAAACATTATAACTATTTCAAATTAATACCTTTCTCTCATAGAATAGTGCCTACAATACAGATTCTCTCTTCCACTCATTTAAACTATTTAAACTATACCTGTGTATATTTATAAATATGGAGTGAGTCATAATCCAGTGAGTACATCATACTTCTAAATTACAATAATACAAAGATTTTGAATAATATGCATGTTCATTACAAAGTAATAAAATAATTTCATTTAAAATTCATTTTGAAAATGACCATCAATATTATGTATATCTATACATGGCAAATATATCATATTTTTTGTCATTTCCATAAATAATACAACTGTCATAGGAGATATTGTATAAAATAGTGTCAATGAATAAACATCCTTTTTTTAATAACATTTTTCCAAAACCTTTTTTGTTACACACACATGGGTACATTAGACCCCTAGCCAGTACCATAAAGGGATATACTCCATCATTCAATCATGCATAAGCAAGCAAGCAACAACAACAACAACAACATCAAGCCTTTGTCCCACTACGTGGGGTTGGCTACATGACTCCTTTTTCACCATTGTGTCCGGTTAAAAGTCAAATTCTCATTTAAATCTAATAAAGAAATATCATTTCTAATATTTTCTAACCAAATCTTTTTAGGTCTACCTCTATCTTTCTTAACATAAGTCAGATCTAATACCTCAACTTTCCTAGCCGGGTCATCGGAAGGCCTCCGTTTAATGTGACCAAACCATCTAAGGCGACTCTCTCTAATCTTATCTTCAACTGGAGCTACTCCAACCTTTTCACGTATATGCTCATTTCGTATCCTATCTCTAAGGGTTA